GAACATTTAAAAAAATTTTTTTTTTTTAATTATAACTTCATTATAGTGTTATTTAACAACTAGTTTAGGACATGTTTAGTCATAGGCATAAGAAGGCAGGGCAGCTCTTGCTCCCTTCTTATGCTTCTTTCCTTCCCCCATATTTTTTTTTTATTACATAAAAGTGAATTAATAGTGATAAACTATTTCTAAAATACAATTTAAAAACATAATGAAATTTTGTTGCATTTGAATTCATTTTCATTATTTATTTCAAGTTGTTAAATGCTTAAAATATTTTTTTTATAAATAGTCTTATAACAATTTTATCTCAACTTCCGAAACACCATAGTGAATAAACACTATGGTGTTTTGAAAGTTTGAGATAAGATTGTTAAAACACCATAGTGAATAAAGAAGATTCAAAGATTCGCTCCAGATATGGCAACAGTATTCCATAAAAGGAAGGATTTTAGAATTATAGAGATAAAGAAAGCGTCCGGAGTAAGAAAGTGGCGAGCACGATAAAGAGATACAGCCTTAACAAGTGCTAATTTAGTAATGAATTTGATATATGGTTTCTGAGGAAGATCGCAAGTAAGAGTTAATCCTAGCAGACAAAAGTTAGATGACTCATCGAGTACATTACCGTTAATAAATAAAGGAATATCTAGATTGTTGCGATAATGATAAGCTGAAATAATAGAGTTTTATTTGAGTTAAATATCACCAGCCACTGAGAGCCCTATGCTGTAGCAGAGGTGAGATTCTTTGCAAGCTCAAATGGCCCCTCCAAACAATCGGAGATCGTCGGCTTCTTATCAAAATAAGAACAAATGGTATTATCATCAGTAAACAATACCACCTTAGACATGAGAATTTCTGGAAGATCATTAATGTCAATTGAAAAAGTATTGAGCCAAGTATAAAACCTTGAGGAACCCCTGAAGTTACAGGAAATGAAGAAAAGTGCTTTCTATTGAGGACAACTTTCAAACTACGATTGGTAAGGAAGGGTCTAGTAACTTTAAAGATGTTACCTGATACACCATAAGAAGACAGTTTATAGAGAAGAACAACGTGCAAAACTTTATCAAAGGTTTTATAAATGTTGAGAGTTTTACCTTTCCACGCATATCTAATGTACAATAAAACCTATCGGTTATTACAGCTGACAAATCAGCAGTAGAACAAGAAGATCGAAATCCACATTGATGATCAGAAAGTAAGTTATTAGATTCAAGGTGAGAGATTAAGTAGTTGTTAATTAAAGTCTCAAATACCTTGCTTATGATATAAGTCAGTTTGCTTTTCAGAATTTTTTAAAATAGGGATAACAACTCCAGGGAACAGTTCAGCAAGACTATAACAAGTATGTTGTCCAGACCACAAGCTATAGAAGAGTCTAAACAGGAAATCACTTTAGATACAGAAGCTGGAGTGAAACGAACGTCTAGCGGAGATACTGAACACTAACTAGAATCAGTAACAAGCCATAAGTCAAGTAGAGAAGGTAAATGATTTAGATTGTCTGGAAAGCGAGTTGGAAAATTGACTATTTTTGTTTAAAATTAAGAAAAGCAAATGCTGCGGGCCTTAACGCATACAGAGTCACTGACACTAGAGTCAAGCCATTCAATGTGATGAAAATTAGTCACCACCAACAACGATTTTGGCTGAAGGACCACGAGAATTAGTGAATGATAGATTTGGAGAACTTGGTGTTGAGGATAGTTTGTGTTTTATTGATGTTAATTTAATCTAAAAGTTCTTTTTATAAATAACTGGTGTTAAAAATAACGGGTGTTTGTTTAAAGTTATTTGTAAAGGAGTCACTGACACTAGAGTCAAGCCATTCAGTGCAATGAAAATTAAAGTCACCAACAACAACTATTTTGGCTGAAGGACCACGAGTATTAGTGAATGATAGGTTTGGAGAACTTGGTGTTGAGGGTGGTTTAAACTCGAGCACATTTAGAAAAAAAGATATTGAGATAGTAGAACAGTTGCGGGTGTATCTTTTTTTTATTCTTATTAGTTCAAATTCAATAAGTTATAAAAATGCAAGTGTGGATACTCATACTGTGATATTTGATATTATTTCAAAAAACAAAAGAAATAAAGAGATAGCATTGCTTGGTTCTTATTTCCAAAGTTGTATGCATAATTTCTACACCACACAACAATATCAGATTGATGATATATTGAACTGCAGAAATTTTTTAAAGTAAAAACTAGAGCATAAACAACTTAAAATGGACGCTAGTCAAAAACTTTAATAGATCCTATAGGATTTTTAGATAAAAAGACTTTAACTTATTTCTTTTAATTTGATTGGTGTCAAATTTGACTTATTTATAAATATTTGAGCTAGGAATTCTTATAACATCTTTTAGCATAAACTTAAAACAATCGGTTGCTAAATAATGTAGTGGTTAGCAGGATTTTTTAAATAATATTAGTTTTGTATTGAATGATGGCGACAATGATTAAAATGAGTTGTTTTTTTTATTAGGATTGTGATGAGTTACTTTCAAGCGAAGAAGGCAGGGGCTGTTATCCATTAGACGGCCGTTTACTTTGCCAATCTTGTAATGGTGCAGCACAGGCGAGAAAATCCAATGGATCTCGGCTTTCTACTGTGCTTTAAAGAGTTTTTTTTTTCTTCTAAATTTGATATCTTTAATTCAATCAGTAACCTTTTTATTATTTCAGTATTTATTTGCGGAGGTATTGAATGTTTTTTACTATAATATTATATATTTTTTGATTAACGGTATTTTATTACTGATAATTTTGTTTTTTTTTTTATTAGGAATTACTTTAGGAAAAAACTAATAGTTTTCGTTTTTTTTTTTAGATTTTTCAATTTTAAAAAGCGTTTAGTAAGTTACTTTCAGATGGTTAATACAACTTGGGGTTGGAATAAAAGGGTGTGTAGGAATTTTCGTCCAGATCTATATATGGTAGGGTCTTAATAGTCAGGTGGATGGGAAGTTTTATTTTTATCAGTGAGTTCGAATTTTCTCATTTTAAGTCCGGTTTACATTGAAAGTTTTTTTGTTCTGAGACTTTTTTTAGTTTAGAGTTTCTTTTTTGATAATAAGTAAAAATTAATGAAAGGGGGCCTTAACAAGCCGGGAAGTTTCGTAAAATTTAATAAACGTCTCTTTCCGTGTATTAAGCACAAGAAAGTATAGTCTACAAATGATTGCACCCAATCTCTAGTCGCTGACCTAATTATAAAATACGCAAGAACCCAGAGATCAAATTATACAAAATCAGTCCAAATTTGAAAAAAGAAAGAAAGACTTACAGCATAGTTACAGCATACTGGTTTATTATTGACCACAGCCGCTTTTTTTTAGAGCTTTTTGTAAAATTTTCTAAATTAGTTGGTCAATTATTATGATTTTTTCTTTGCTAATTATAACGGGTGTTTACTTGAAATCCGGACTGACTTTAAAGGGTCATAACTCCCTTATTTTTTATCAACTTAAAAAAATAAAATATGATTTAAAATCAGCATTTAATTCTCTATAATGATACTTTATTTATTTTCAATTAAATTTTTTCTTCTTATAGAATCAATTCTTGATAAAATACCCTTTGCAAACTCTTGTACAAGATTGATATCAACTTTGCTGAAGCAATACACTATCCTTTTCCTTAGTTGTTCTAAATTTTCTGCTTGCCAATTATCCTTGTAAACTAAACCTTTTATTATTGACCAAAAATCCTCAATAGGTCTTGCTTCTGGTACATTTGCAGGGTTATCTTCTTTTGGTACAAATCTGACGTTTTGTCCATTTAAATAAGCTTGAACAGATTTAGCATAATGAGACGTCGCCAGATCTGGCCAAAATACGAATTGACTGTCTTGATGATGCTCTTTAATAAAAGGAATAAGACGTTTTTTAATACAATCTTCTAAGTAGATTTTTTGATTGATTGCAAGACCACTTTGACGGATTAGAATTTTTGGCATTCCTTTTACAGAAAAGGCTACCTAGACCAGGAGCTTGGGTTCATACTTTCGCTTTGTATAATATTTGACACTAGATGGGCAAAGGTTTATGTCACTTGTGTAGAAGTTATCGTTTCCGTTGATTGGTGAATGAGAAAGAGTAAAATAAGATTCATCATCAATGATCCAATCAAATTTGCTAAAAGCTCGATATAATCTACCACACTTTGTTTTTGCCATCAGTTTTTGATCACCAGTTCGATGTGGAATCTTTTTCTTCTTTCTTTTCTTGATCTTTGATTTTGTCTGAATAATTTTATGGGCATAAGAAGCTGATATTCTAAATTTTCTACCTGCTTTCCTATAAGAAACGCCATCATGATGATCAAACATTGATTTTAACGCTTGTACTTTTTTTTGGGTCATTTTTAGAGCTTTTTTTCCTGAACCAGGACGTCTAAGATATCCAGAATCGTCATCAGCACGTTTAATTATATCATAGATGGTCGATCTGGCAATTTTTTCTTTTTCAAAATGATCTACGGTGTACTTTTTGCCTTTTTCTTTATTTTCAATATAGAAATTGTACACACGTTTTCGAGTGTCGTCTTGTTTAGGTTTCATTTTCAATTTGAATAATCATTCAATCTAAATATAAATGTAGCATATTAAAGCTAAATTTAAACGCTTTAAAATAATGTATCACATGGTACAATTGCAATACATTATGTCAGATTTATATTGACTTAAAGTCAGTCCGGATTTCAAGTGAACACCTGTTACTTAAAACAATATGCAATATTTTTCGGCTTTACTTTACTTTATATAAACCATCTTACATAATGTTAAAAATATCGTTTATTTTATAGAAAAAAATATTTTCAAGATGTTACAATTTTTAATTTCAGTGATTTAGCTTTTAAAAGTTTAATCATGTTTATTCTAAATTCTTTAAGTTCTTTGTTGAACTGCAAACAACAACCTTAAGAGTTTTTAAAACCTAAATAAAAAAATTGGTTGTCTAAGTAACGACGCAAGACGATAGGGCCAAGTTATGCAGAAAGCTACAAACCCACTCATACTTGGTTTTAAGAAAAATTAGATTAAAATTTATTGTGATTGTTTTAAAGTTCTGCATTTAAGATAAAATTTTAAATAAAGTTGTTCATCGATAATCAAAGAACAACTTTATTTAAAATTTTATCACACTTGTTCTTTAATAATTAAGGAACAATTTTATTTAAGATTATACCCTACTTTCTCGTAAATTGTAGAACAAATTATTCAAGATTTTATCATACTTTATTTTAAGATATTAAGTTACGACACTAAGATTAGAAATCATATAACTCCGTTTTCTTTGCAATAATATGTTCTTTTAACAAAGAGATCTTAGTAGGGAGACCATCTTAGACCTAGCGAGAAAGTGAGCTAACGGTTAATTTTATCGCCAATAGTGTTGGAAAGTAGCTAAATCTGTTTTGAAACTGTTGTTTAAAATGTATACTGTTTTTTTTGAATGCTTGATTTTTATCTGTAAAAACGTTTGAGCATTTCATCTAGTTTTGCAATCTGCAATTAATTATTATTCTTTATCTAACTTGAGATTTGCATAACTCTGTAGTACCTCATTATTTAACGGGGAACGTTTAAACAATTGTGCGATTTTTTTTTGTTTTTTTTGTTTTGCCAATCTTTTAACAAAAGTATCAAATTAGTTCCCTTATACTTTTTGTGTATGGGAACAAATTTGACTTGCTGTTATGCTTGTCTCTGTATTTTGTAATCCATTACTAATACTACTTCATGTGTGTTTTCAATATTTTCAAAGGCTCCATAGTTTTTGTGTTCTACGGTGACTGAATATGCATAACTCTGCATCGTCATTTACATCATGATAGTTCACTTTTTCACTTAAAACTGTAACACATTTTTCTGCTGGTAAACTTCCATTGATCCGTAGAAGTTCTAAATTTCATAACTTTAACTCCGAGTGAAGGTTCGCGTTTATGTTTTGTCATTTCTTAAGAAAGTCCACTTATCAAAGTAATACTGAAATCTTTTGACTGTCTCCTTAAACAACAGAATCATGCAGCACGCATTATTCATTTTCAAAATTGCTTCACAAATGCTAAACCTCTTCTAAAAAGCATGAGGCACTTAATATTTTATGAACTAAATATTTTCAAAATTACACAATTTATGTTTCAACATCAGTCAAAAAAAAATGCCGAAAGTTTTCGAAAATATTTTCCCTAAAACATTAAACCGATATAACACGCGATCTACCGGAAGATTTAAAAAACCTTTCCGTACATCACGAACTTTGCCATTTCCTATCGTGGCCCAATGCTATGGAATCATTTTACAAGCCTGAGTGGTAAACTTAAAGAACCCAATACCTCCCAAAAATTTAAAAAGAACATAATCGAACTTATTACCAATCAAGATTCTTTACATGATTTTTTCTAACAATACACTTTTATTTCCAATTTTTATTACCAAAGGTTACTGGTGATAAGATTTTATCTTCTTCAGGTTCTCTGGTCTCGTAACTATTATAAATAATGAAATGTACTTGTAGGGTAACCTGGGGCAAAGTGAGACATTTAGGCTTTCTAGCATTGCACAGATTTTTTTTGAAATGCTACAGTAATTTTGGTTTATTATATTAAAAGTTTCATGCTTTTTTAATGTTTTAGTGTAGTTTCCATCAGTTTTTTTCTATATTATGACATAGAAAAGTGGATTTAAAGCTTACGAATTGCGTCAATTTAATTATAAAATCAAAATTATTATTTTTTTTTTGTGGAAAAAAAATCCATGTACGCTGTTATTTTTACCACAGAACAATCATATTATTAAGTTTGTAATCATTTATTAATTACCTTTCAGCTCCCATTCTTCTTTTGATGTCAGATTATTTTGTTTCAAAGATATTTAAAAAATATATAACTTCACATTTACGCTAGTTACTCAAAAAGATCGTCAAGTAAACGTTAAGGAAAGCAAGTTTATAAACTTAATAAATCGTCAAAGTAAACGTTTGCGATAGCAAATTTATAAACTTGGCAAGTTTAATTTGCTATCATCATTTTATGAAAAAAACAATCAGAAAAAAAGAAATGGTTTTGTCCAGTTTGTCAAGCGAAATGGTGCAATAATACCCAAATCGACTGGATAGCTTGTTGTGTATGTACTGTTTGGGTACAGGAAGACTGTACATTATAGGATGTTTGGTTTTTAAGTGTAAAGATTTTATTCAAACTTATTGACTAACATGAAACTTTGCATATGCAATTTTTTTATTGATATTATTTTTGATTTTGATTTTTTGTTATTTTATATTTTTGATTGATATTTTTTCCTATCATGTTTTTTGATTTAAAAGGAAAAATTACATTATAAAATAATACCTTTGTGTTTTTACTTGCGTTCTTATATTTAATCAGATCGATTTTATTAAAGTCTGCTTTAATTTTTATTGAAAATTATATTTTTACTTAGTTTTTTCTTCAAAAAAATCTGTCTCACTTTGCCCCAAGTTTTGGGGAAAGTGAGACAGGGCAGTTGTTGTCATTTTGAGCATAACTATGTACCAATGCAACAACCTATCACCACAAATATTTAAGAGATCGTTAAACACATAATGTGCTAGTAGCCTGCAAAATTTCTTGTTATGAAACGTGATACTTTTCAAGTTATGAACATTCTCCCTGAAAGTGTCTCGCTTTGCCCC